GGCCTATGAGGAGATGAAGCAGCCTGTCTATGAGGAGCCATCCGATGAAGCAGAAGCAATGACCTATTTGTGTCATAAACTAAGAATGCTTATTCGTTTCCTGACCTGCCAACCCAGGACCAAAGAGGAACCCGAGTTTGTCACTGACATGTTGCATGGGCAACCAGAGAAGAAGACTGGTCAGTACCTGGGGCTGAAGACCAGACTCGTTAATGGGAAGAAAATGGCTTACATTGTTGTTTGAGCAATGAGAATGTCAAGAGCCTCTAGGAAGACACGTCACAGACAGACCCAGGTTCAGTTGGAGGGCTTCAGGCATATATAGTGTCTATCTCCTGATTTTCACCCATGCCCTTCCTAATGCACACCTTCTTCATTTCATAGTATCCCCATGCTTGGCCTCTTTTCTCAAGTGAAAGGATTATCTTGGATTGGAATGTAATGTCTGGGAGGAGGAGGGTCACAATATTCATTTTCAGGACGGAATTCCTTTTATCAGAGCATTGTGTTACTCCTGGTAGAGAGGCAACCCTTTCTTATTCGGAGTTTGCAGCAGTGGAGTGACATGGGGGATGCTTTCTTTAGAACCAGATTTCAGGGAGAGTGTTGAAGACTTCCAAACCCTGGGACAACATTCTCCTGTATCTTCTATGCTCAGTACAGGCTTGAATTGACATGCTGACTGCCTGACAGTACTGAGCCTCTTCCCCATCTTTCTCTCCCTCATATTTCAGCTAGGCCATCACTGGAGGGGTCATATGAGAACTCCACTCTATTTATTTATCCTCTTTCTTGGGAATAGGTGGGTGAGCTTCAGGGAAGTATATCAAGGGACTGTGGCTTCTTCTGCACTCTTGAAAGTTAAGATGCCAAACGTAACACTTAATGGTGAAAAGACATGGCTTTGTCAAATATCAAAAAAAGTCTGCATACTTGTTTGTGCACGCGTTTATCCTGAATCTTCAATATTCCTTGACAATAGGCATACAAACATGCAAGATTTGGCCCCTACTTATGAAGGATAAAATGGCATATCTAATTAAGAGCAAGGTGTACCAGCTGATGTAGTATCATTCTGTAGCGTGGTTCTGTATCCTTAGGACATTAAGCTTGATCCGCATTAATGTCTTTCTTCTGTGAAAGTTTTAGACTGGCAATGATTCCTGTGGGGGTCCATTTGCATAGATAGCTTCTGCCTTCTGTGTCCAGTGCCTGAGCCACATCTAGTGGGCAGACACTTCTTGGGAAGGGTTACTGTTTTGTGTTGCAATTCATTGTCTGTGGTACACTGACACTGCCTGTTCTGCCAACCTCAAGGGTCCCTCTTACTCCCACCCACACTCCACCCCTGCCCAAGGGGTCGTCCAAGGGTTTGGAGCAAGGATTGAACCTGGTTCAGGGGCCCGCTCCTTAGGGTCAATGAGGGTGAGGTTGTCCTATGAGTGGTGAGGTTTCCAGTTCCCATGGAGGGGGTCAGGTAGAGGCCCTTCACCGATCTCCGGGACTTCTGACCACAGTGCAGTTGCTATAGGCACTACATGTCTACAGCGGACTTCAGACTGAGGGGGAATAAATCTGGTCGCGAAGGTGGTACTCCCCCTCGCTCCAAGTCCGCAACCACCCTGAGGGGCGCAGCCGCAGTTGGCGAACTACAGCAGACGCTGTGCACCTGGAGGCGCGCGGGGCGCAGATAGACTCCGAGGACCCGCGTGCGCAGGGAGGCCCATTTCGGAGAAGGCCAAGATGGCGCGCTCGCGCAAGGGCCCGAGTCTTCCCTCAGGCCGAGTCCCCGGTTCTGTAAGTTGGAGCGCGGCTTCCCCCGTCAGGACCCCGGTGAGCCCCACGAAAGCGTGAAGCACGCGAAGGGGCGCAGCCGGGAACCAAGCCAGGCCGGCGTGCGCCCGCGGCTCAGCGATCTAGGGGCGGACCTCTCAACGTAGCCCCGCCCCTCCCGGCGCGCGCGCGCGACGTGCGTGACGTGCGTCCCCAAAAAGGCCATCGCAATTAGCGAGAAAACCCGCCCTGCGCATGCGCATGAGACAGGATCCTGTGGCCGCGGCTGAGGGCGCAGTTCCGCGCGGGCCTCTGGGAGACAGACGGCGGTGAGGCGCCGCCCTCCACCGCGCTGCGCATGCGCCCACCCTGCTGTGCGGGTAAGAGGGAGGAGTTTGGCTGTTGCCGCGAGCTCCTGGCGTCGCTGCTTTCCGCTGCCCCCTCGGCGCCTCAGCGAGCGTTCGGGGCCCCTGAGCTTCGGTGGGTGAGGCCTAGTGGCCGGAGCGGCCGCGCGTGTGGATGTGGGAGTGGGGGCAGCGGACACGGTTCCGTGTACTTCCGGGACCCGGTGTGCTATGGTCGGAGGGGGCCGGTCTCCCGGTGCTGGACCGCGCGTGCAGAAGAACGCAAGCACCGCAGAAAACGCGCAGCAGCCTCGGGGAGGACCTGGGACCGCATCCTGCAGCTTACACGCAACCACATAGAATAGGATTTCCTACGACTTTGAGCCCAAGCGGGAGGAACCCTGTTGGGAGTGAAAGAGACCCCTGTTAGTTTTCGGGAGTGAGCTATACCTCGGTTCTTGGCTTCACATGCTGAAAGAATTCACGCCGAAGCACGTTTTGTCATCCAAGTGAGTTTTTAGGAAGAACAAGAAAAGTCCCAGGATTTACAGTCTCAATAGGGTACACGCAATTTATGGAAAGCGTTCCAAGCCACGCAGGAGCAGGAGCCGTAGGTATTCACAACTGGGTATGAAATACCATGTGGAAACGCCCTTATGGAACTGGGGAATCCCGAGGACCCAGAGGTCAAGAGAGTGAGTGAGCAAGAGCCTAAGAGCCTCGAGTAGGCCCCGAGCAGGCTTTGAGGAGGGGGCACGCCTGGGGTACATGTGAGCGTCCCCGCCTTTGACCTGCTGCAAGACCGTGGCAAAAAGAGAAATTAGCTTTCCTGCAGCCGACTTTTAACACCTCTGTCTGGGGAGGCCTGGGTGAAGGAATTGGCTTACCCCATTGCTTAGTTAGACCCACCTGTGGGATGTCATTTGCTGGAACCTAAGATGGGTGTGCCCAAGGTAATGGTTTCACCTGGGCCTAGGGGGTCCTAGTCTGTGCATGTTCAGTTCTGGGCATCCTCATTGGTGTCTTACTAGGGTGCTCCATTTCTTTCCAACCTCCTGTATGGGGGCCTTTGCTAGCATGGGAGGGACAAGTCCCCTGTCCCAAAGCTAGCCACCTAATACCCCTAGTCTCGATTTAAGGAAAGCATTACACCTTAAATAGAACAAGTACCTGCACAGTGGGTACCTTTAGCATGAGGTTGTGATGTTGTCCAAGGGTTTAAAACCACAGCTACTTAATAAGACATGGAACACAAAGAATTCACAAATTCGTGACTGACAGCCGATCAATACATGGCCTTACAGGTAGGACTGCAGACGTAGGACAGCACCATGACGTTGTTAGGTGCTGCCCAGGTGGTTTAGACTCACAGCGACCCCATGTACGACAGAAGGACACGGCCTGGTCCTGCATCATCCTCACAGTTGTGTTGGAGCCCAATGCTGCGGCCACTCCGTCCATCTCCTTGATGGTTTTTCCATTTTTATCACCAACCGTTTCCCAAGCAGAATGTCCTCCAGAGACTGGTTTCTCCTGCTAACATATCCAAAGAACCTGGTGTAAATAGAGTCTGGGATTCTAAGGAGTGTTCTGGCAGTACTTCTTCCAAGACAGATTTGTTTGTTCCAGCAGTCTCTGGTACTTTGAACATGCTTTTCCAGCACCATGATTCCGAAGCATGGATTCTTCTGTCTTCTTTATTCAGTGTTCAACTAGAACATGCATATGAGGCGATTGACAATCCCATGGCTTGAGTCAGGAGCCCCTTAGTCGAGGACCATGAGTAGGACATGCACATTATGTTAGAAGAGCTTTCAAGATTGATCTGGGGCCTTCTAACTTAGGCAGTCTGGCAGTCTGGGCATGACTACTGAGACCCCCAGGAAAGGGATCTCCATCAAGGATACACCCAGGTGATCCCCTAAGAGACTATTGGCCCCTAGGCTAGCTGGAGAGGGGTGGAGATAATCTACTATCCATTTCATTCTTCCTAAGATCCCGTCTGAGGATGATCTCTGTGCTTGGTTAATGTTCAGAAGGAATTCAGTAGAGTCTTAATCTTTTTTAGGACTCCAAAAATGGATTTTGGTCTTTACTGCCATCTATAGACATTTACAAATGGGCTTTCTCAGAATAGAAGCTGAAGTACATGGTGTAGTTAGTGCTCAACTATGAATGAAAAGTATGGCTGTTGAAACCCACCAGTCTCTCAGAAGAAGATGTGGCAGTCTGCTACAGTCAGTCTTACCAAAAGCCATGCACAACTTGTGGGGCAATTCTCTCACCTACCGGGTAGTTGAATTGGAATCGATTCCATGGTAGTGGGTTTGGCGATTGAAAAAAATTAAATTCTGGGCAGTCGAAGTGAGCTGGCATGGCATTCGGTGTTTAAATGTGGGTATGTCCAATTCCAAAGCTGTCAGGGATAACATACACACAGATTCAGAAGAGTAGAGAGATCATAGCAGAAAGTGAAACCTCACGAGGAGTTTGAAGTAGGAGTAGAAATTCATAGGCAAAGGAAAAGTTGGACAATCTATAAAAACCATAACTTCTTCAACCTGGTTTATGGCTGACATGACAGGTTAACCCCAGGAAACAAACCTGTTGCTGTTGAGTGGATTCTGATAATTATGATCCTATGGGACATAGTAGAACTTTTCCATAGGGTTTTCTAGCCTGTAAGCTTCACAGGTTTCCCCAAGAGTACCTGCTAGTATCCAGTTGCGTAGTTTGCAGCCAAGTGGCTTAACTGTACCACCAGAGCTCCTTCATACGCCACCTAGTTAACTATACTTGTAAAGAAAGGCAGGTGCCTCTGTGAAAATGAGTGAGAATTCTGTGTTAGTCCGGGCTGACTAGAGAAACAAATTCATTGACACTCATATATGTGTATAAGAAAGAGGTTTACCTTGAAGGTAAACAAGCGGCCATCTAGCTCAGAAGCAACAAAGCCCACATGGAAGAACATATCAGCCTCTGTGATCACGAGGTATCGAAGGGATCGCTGAAGACAAATGGGTGCATAAGCAAATGTGGTGAATAAAGCTGATGGTGGCTGGCTATCAAAAAGTATAGTGTCTGGGGTCTTAAAGGCTTGAAGGTAATCAAGTGGTCATCAAGCTCAGAAGCAACAAAGCCCACATGGAAGAAGCACACCAGCCTATGTGATCATGAAGTGTCGGGATCAGGTATCAGGCATCATCTGAACAAACAAATCTTACCATAGTGAATGATGGGGGGATTGCGGAGTGGAGACTCAAAAGCCCATTTGTAGGCCACTGGAGATCCCCTTGCAGAGGGGTCTCGGGGAGGAGACGAGCCAGTCAGGGTGCAATGTAGCAACGATGAAAAAGATAACTTTCCTCTAGTTCCTAAATGTTTCCTCCCCGCTCCCACTATCATGATATGAATTCCACCTTGCAAGTCTGGCTAGACCAGAGGATGTACATTGGTACAGATAAGAACTGGAAATACAGGGAATCTAGGGCGGATGATCCCTACAGGACCAGTGGTGTGAGTGGTGATACTGGGAGGGTAGAGGGAGAGTGGGTTAGAAAGAGGGAACCGATTACAAGGAACTGTATGTGACCTCCTCCCTGGGGGATGGACAACAGAAAAGTGGGTGAAGGGAGACATCGGACAGGGCAAGATATGACAAAATAACAAATAAAAAAATAACAAAGGCCCCAGAGGGAGGGGGGAGCGGGGAGGGAGGGGAAAAATGAGGACCTAATGCCGGGGGCTTAAGTGGAGAGGAAATGTTTTGAGAATGATGAGGGCAACGAATGTACAAATGCGCTTTACACAATTGATGTGTGTATGGATTGCGATAAGAGTTGTATGAGCCCCTAAGAAAATGATTTTTAAAAAAGAGCTTTACATAAAAGAGTAATTGTGTATTGAGAAAACATCCCTGCCCAGTCTAGATTAAGTCCATAAACCCATATGTCTGATACCAGTCTATAAATGCCTCTTCACACTCACCCAACACAAGCAACGATGCCAAATGCAGGAAGTTCACAGACCAATAGGTGGAAAGTCTTGTAGATCCAGTGGCAGTGGAAGCACCTCAGCACTGGCATGGGTCTCCACATGGTTCCTCCAGCTCCAGAACTCTGGCTCCATGTGGCTTGTCAGCAGGAAGACGAAGCAGAGATTGTGTTGCACCTCCAGGGAGGAAGACGGGAGTTCCCAGAAACCTCAGAAGGCCATGCCCACACAGAGGCTCCATTGGTTATGACTTGATTGACAAGCTAGACTCCACCCCTTCCTCAAGTTGACAGCAGATTATGTAACTGCCACAACTCCATACAACTGAATATAAATATTTCTGTAGGGATGAGGGGGTACCCAACACTCGAACAGGTCCTCAGGAGCGACTTTGTGATTGTGGAAGATATGAAAGACAGAAAGCAGGCTATGAAGATATGAAAGACAGAATAGGGGCTCCTATTCCCATGCCAGGAGTGACTATGTATTTTCCAATGGGTGTGTACAATGGGGCTTACAGATCTTTCATAAGGCGTGCACATCATACAGCTAACATTGCATAGTTAATAGGTAAATAGGCGAGTCATATAATAAGCAGTGAGGTGAGTCAGTGTCTTGACCTAGTGCTAGTTGACCACAACCTGAGCCCTCCCCAGGAGGCTGCTAAATTTATGGTTGACTATAGAACCTGATTGCTTTTATCTACAGATAACCCTAGGCATTGTAAAGTAGCCAGACATAGAATTGATTCACCTTATATGGTAGCTCCTTTATAACAGTTCCTCTATAGGGGGTTAATGGAGGGACTGTCCAGTCATGGGAATGTTTATTAAGATTTATTTATATCTCATGACTGAGAGAGGCTTCCTCCACCAGAGTCGGCTTTCCAGACCCATAATTATAAGCATGGATGATTTAGCTGCATTACATTTTCATCAAGTCCCTCCATTTACCATACATTTCAATCTTAAAATATACTCTGTAGTGTATGTGAAGAGAGAATAGAAACTTGGCACCACAGAGAGGGGTAATTTGCCCTCACTAGTAGGCTCTTCACTGGAGATCTTGGGAAAGGAGACAGGAGAAATCCCATTGGTGAAGGCTTGGAGGCGCAGATGACTGCTTCGCTGGTTGGATTCTTAC